TGGGGATCACTCGCTTCTTTCCTTAAATGATCAAACTTAAAGGAAAGTTTGTTTCTTGGGTCCAAAAACCTGCCATTGCCCAGGTCGCCGTGTTCTGTAATTAAGACCTGAAAAATAAAGCGAAAGATCGAAGCGCTTTCTTATGCTGATTTAAATGTCACATTGCTCTTCTGGGGCTCTTGAGTGCAAGTTTGCTAGATTTCACCACAAGGCGCTATTTGTTTCAGATGAAACCTTAAGTGCCCACTCCTTTGCAAGGACATTAATGATTCTATGGTTCACTTAATGATTTGGGGTTTGCTGTGAGGTCCTTGGACAAACTTTCCCTCTCACCAAAGATGGCTGCATTCAGTGATGTTGTGTATAGAAAGCTTACAACGTTTTTTGGGATCCTTTTACGAAATTCAAACATCAATTATTCTGCTTCTGTAAAACTATAATAGGATAATTCAAAGCCCCATTTCTTTCTCCTTCCTAGAGGGAAGGGTGGGTGTACCTCAGGGTTCCATCATTTTCCTCTCTCTTCTTCCTTCCATAAGCCTGTATGTTGCAGCAACTCCTCCTCTGATCAAGGAGGAAGAGTAGATGTGGCTACTTCACTATGTATCAGGTTTAGGCTGGGGTGAATGGTCTTGAACAGCACAACAGGGCATTCCCTGCCCCACCGGGAGATCGGTCATCTCAAGAACCAGACCAAGCAGAAGAGCCAAACCTCTTTCTCACAGGTTGTACAGCTTCTGTCAAATCTGCTTCTATCGGCAGCCTAGTATTGCTATATTTCCCAGGCCTGCACCACTTGACCGAACCCTCTGGCACAAGTGGACACTGGGATGCAGTTCCTGTATCAGTATTGAGCTCAGAGACCAGAGGCAGCCAAGCCTGCTTTCAGTCTCCAACAGGGCCCACTTTCTTCCTCAGAAAAACGGAAATTAATTGTACCCTTTGTGAAACTTCCGTCTGTAAGTATCAAGAGGCAAAAAAATTCCCAGATCATCTTTTGGAGGCAAACGGGAAGTTCTTTAGTTTGTGTTTTTATACAGGAGAGGGGAATGCAGGAAGGCTGAAATGATATAATGGGAGAGCCAATGTATTTGGAATAATTGGATAAGGTGGGGTTTGGTATAGATGGAAATGGAAAAAGAACATATGCTATTTTTTAAGAGCCTGATACTGAAACCAATGGGAGCTGGGAGTATGCAGAATCTGAGAGCTGCTAAACAGCCCTAAAAGAAAAACATTCTTTGCTCACTCTGCCTCAGGCAAGACTTCCGCTGGCTTTAGCAGGGAGTTGTGCCCAAGGAAGGAGTACGGCATTAGCCCCATTTAGTTAGTAACAGAGAGCATGGTCACAAGGAAACATTCATGTCTGAGGCTTTTCTGTAAGGAGAGAAGTTTGCTAAGTACTGAGTGCAAAAAAAAAGGTCAGGTGATCAGAAGATCATATTTTCAACCTAACCAGAACTTCCCATCCAGATCGTTATGGAAGGACATCGTAATACCTGCAGTGATGGATACCAATCTGAAAACCTGCAAAGACAGGCAGCAAAACTTTGTTTTACCTGATCATCATACCCCTCGATCTTCACGGGAGTGAACTGATCCATGTTATACTGGGCAAATGCACTGTTAATAATTGAAAAGAAAAAAGGTAAGCTTTAACTGTGCAATCTTTATTATTTATATTTTCACTGAGGGACTAATGAATACAAATTCCAGTACAGAGAAAATGTCCATGTTTAATACGTTCATAGACAGTGCTCTTGGGAATATATTTTGGTGTGATATCTAAGGTATGAATTGACCTGGGGTAAATGACTGGTTTCCTGTGATGGGAGCAACATGAATATTTTGAAATCTTTGGTATAGAGCAACCAACTATCACTAAGGCCTGGTTTACACTACAAACGCCCATCGGTGTAACCACGTCGCTCAGGGGTATGAAAAATCCACACCCTGAGCAATGTAGTTTTACCAACCTGGTGTAGACAGTGCTAGGTTGACAGGAGAGCTTCTCCCATCAACATAGCTACCACGTCTTCACTAAAGCGCTACAGCGACACAGCGGCAGCACTGTACTGGAAACCCTCCTTCCAGCTTGCCTGGGGGACAAGACAGACTGGCGTGCCCACGGGGACTGTCTGTGACTCCATGGTACCACTGTTTTTGTGCTTCAGAAGTTCACACTTGTTACTGGGTTGGTGAAAGCTAATTATAGAACATACAACTAGTTGGAGTCTTATCTCTGCTTCTTGACATCTGCCCGCCCTGAGGATGGCATTCACGATCATGAACCACTCCAGATAGCATGACAGGTACCAGTCCTCTGATGGTTTGAACAAAGGTGAATCATTCCTTAGGATGCTAAAAGGTTACTATATATATATATATATATAATGTATGTATGTTGGCTCTCCTCATTTGTTTAGATTCTATTATAACAAAGGTAGTTCTGCTTAGACTTTTGGGAGATGACCCTCCACCTTTCCGGGTGCTTTGGTTGGGAGAGGGGAAATTACTGTACATCACCCCCTCCACCAACACTACAATTGATCACAGTTCACATCATTATGTCATTAGACTGAAAAAAACACACACTTACACACTTCCTTAAAATGTTCTGAAACTTGTTTTAAACAATACTTACTGTGCTGCCCCTTCCCTGAGAAGACTGTCATTGTTAAGCAGTAACCGGACATCTAGAGAAAAGAAAGTGTTCAGGCAGATTATCAAATGTCTGTCTTTGCACACTAAAACTGAAACGGAAACAGAGGCTCAACACATTACAGTGGCTGTAAATCATTTTACTAAACACTGTGTGGTTGTATAATGGAACTAAATTCTTCCCTCCTTGCTGTCTGTGTGATGATTCTGATTAAAGGCTAGTAGAGCATAACCATGCTAGGCAGAGGGGCTATACTCCTGTCATTACAAGTAACTATCACTATAGTGGATTGAGCACTGGACTGGAACTCGGGAGACCTGAATTCTATTCCTGGCTCTTCTATTGGCCTGCTGTGAGACCTTGGGCAAGCCACTTACCTCCAGGCCTCAGTCTCCCCATCTGTAAAATGGGGATGATGATGCTTTGTAAAGTTCTTTGAGATCTACTGATGAAACTCTACATAATATTATTATTATTAGTAGTAGTAGTAGTAGAATAAGAATTAATCATTTTCCATTATACTCTCCATTTTCATACAGTCACAGCTTTCTGAAGCATGTACCTTTGGGGCTGTAATTTTCTTTCTTGGTCACTGTTCAAAACAACTTTTTTTTTATCATTAAGTTAAAGAATTTCTTTAGCCACTTTTGAGTTATGGTAGAATGAAAGTGAACCAAAAACCCTTCTGGCTCTAACAAAATTCCAGTCACACCATCGTTGAACAGTGAAAATGGCTCCTGTGGTGTTTTCTGATGATGGAGTCCAAAATATATTACATAAATGGAAAGCTAGTTACTATTATGTCTCCATAACA